CACATGCATACCAGGCGATTGGAAATATCATGGCTTGTGTCAGGAGCACCTTAGTCCTCAATGAGATATCCTTGCTCCTCAGCACTTGAAACAGTTCCTTCGCAGTTGACTTTCCCAATGCTACACGTCGTCTAATGTCCTGACTGCTGCTTCCGTTGGCATCGATTGTAGAACCAAGCAACGTGAATTCTTTGACAACCTCAATCTTCTCTTCATTTATTGTGATGCTGCTCACTGGTCCAGTTGTGAGGATTTTTGTTTTCTTTATGTTGAGATGTAATCCATACTGCAGACTGTATTCTTCAACCTTCATCAGTAGGTGACTTATGTCATCCTCACTTTCAGCAAGCAAAGTTGTATCGTCTGCATATCTCAGGTTGTTAATGATTCTTCTTCCAATCCTGATACCACGTTTTTCTTCATATAGTCCAGCTTCTCAGATTATTTGCTCAGCATATAGATTGAATAAGTGTGGAGACAGAATACAACCCTGACGCACTCCCTTCTTGATTTTAAACCATGTAGTGTCCCCTTGTTCTGTTCGAACGACAGCCTCCTGGTCAAGGTACAGATTCCTCATGAGTACAATCAAGTGTTCGGGGATTCCCATTCTTCTCAATGTTGTCCATAATTTGTCATGATCCACACAATCAAATGCCTTTGCATAGTCAATAAAACACAAGTAAACATCTTTCTGGTATTCCCTGCCTTGAGCCAAGATGCATCTGACAACAGCTATGATATCCCTTGTTCCACGTCCTCTTCTGAATCCGGCTTGAACCAAATACAATATAGTACATAAAAATCTTGTTCTACATCCTACTTTGCTGAGTAGCAACTGGGGTCTTAAAAAGCTTTCGAGTGACTATCTAAGATGCAACTATTGTTCTCCCCTCATCTGGAACAAAGAAGAGTGAAGAAAATCAAAGTCATATGGAAACAATTAGTCCAAGGGTATGATAGACCATGGGGACCTCAGCCTTCACAACAACCTTGAGACCTAAAGAACTAGATGGTGCCTGGCTTCCAATGCCAATCACACAGAAAGGGATCAAAATTGGAGATCCTGGAAGAATATTCGAAAACACCAAAATGACCAGAATTACTTGTCAAACAGAGACTGGTAGAATCCCTGAGACTATGGTCCCTGGTTATCCTTCAGACCTGGACCTGAACTCATTTCCGTGGCTTAGCTCTCAGTCGAACAGTAGAAAGGCCTACGAACAGAACACCTACCCCAGGGAGATGCACTCCTTAGATCAATCAACCATGAGCCATCACAAGGGCAGTATTTGCATAGGGGGAAAGCTGCACATACAGGGATGTGTAGAAAAGAAGGGCAAAGGGAAGAGGGAGTTCTAGGGAAGACATGGGGGGAGAGCTTTTTATTGTTGGGATTATAATGGGGGAGAGGAGTGTGAAACAAAATGTGCATTAACTGCTAAGAGTAAGAGGAATCTCCTTTGTAAATTTGCACCCAAATCACAAAAAAAAAATTTAAAAAGAAAGAAATGTCTCTTCCTCCCAGACTGGTTTGTCCTGTTCAGTGAATACTATTTTACTCAACACCAGTCTAAAGTAATAATGAGAGGATTGGGGGGGGGGGGAACTAAGAAGAATAAGAATAAGAAGATATTTACCGTAAATGAAAATCTGTCACCACTTGAGGGGAAAAATGCTAGTATTTTCCTGGGCACAGGAAATGCCTACTAATATGGCACTAAACCTACTTCCTTCAGTGATTTCTTTGATCAGCAATGACAAATTATTTCACTTAAATAGAAACTCCCATTACCACCTTCTGTTACCTAACAGACAAAAATTTTTCCAACATTACTAATCACATTGAAGAAAGGGAATTATAAACTCCAGTTATTCTGTGGGCTCAAGCCAGTTGCCATAGTCCTCTGAAGAAAACTCATTATTGGTGTTTCTCAGGAAATGTTGATTCACACTGCTTTGAATCCACACAAATTTAGAATGAAATCCAGCTGTCTAATTTCAATTTTGAGGTTGCTTCTAGAATGTGAATAGTTTAGCAAGTGTGAAATCAAAAAGCAAGTTGAAAATGGGGAATTTTTCAATATGCTTGAAAAAATGGCAACTAGATATTCTTAAATAAGTTCATTTTATTTGCTCTGATAGCAATATTTAATGTTAAATACTCTGCCAACCAGAAGAGCTAGTTAAGAAACAGCAAGAAATTCCCACATATTTCTTAAAAATAGAGATTTTTAAACATCTCATTAAAAGCATTATAAATTATATTACCTAGATTTGGTAACCAAATCAAACCAAACCTGTTGCCACTGAGTTGATTCTGACTCATAGTAACCCTACAGGACAGAGCAGAATTGCCAGACAGGGTGTCCAAGGCTGCAATCTTTATGAAAGCAGACCGCCACATCCTTCTCCCTCAGAGTAGCTGGTGGCAAATCGCCTACCTTTTGGTTAGCAGCTAAGCACTTTAACCACTGTGCCACCAGGCCTCCTATGTACTGCTAGAGGTGGCATAAACTGGTACTAGATTTCAGAAAAGATGATTTGACAGTATAAAAAGCACATGCGATGCTTTGATTCTGAAATTCTACTTTTAAGAATTTAGCCTAATGAAATGTATAATCCAAGTAACAGACAAATGTGTGTATAAGGTCTTTACCACAACATTATTTGCAATACAGAAAAAAATAGAAACAAGACAAATACACAGTAGAGGACTGGTTAATGAAATGATGGGCTATTCATACAATAGACTGTCACACAGCCATCAAGAACTATGATCTCATTTGAAATAAGTATATACAACCAAACCAAACTCATTGCCCTTGAGTCAGATGAACTCATAGAGACCCCTCCCTGGGTTTCCGAGGTGGTATCACTACGGAAGTTGATTGCCTAACCTTCTCTCCGAGGAGTGGCTGGTGGGTTTGAACTGCCAGCCTTCTGGTTAGCAGTCAAATGCCTTAGGCACTACACCACCACAGCTCCCAAGTATATATAAGCAAAAAAACACAAAAACATTAACAGTTGTTATCTCTCAGAGGTTTTCCAAGTGACTGCCTTTCTTTCTTCCTTTCTGTATTTCCCAAATTTCCTGTAGTATATATCTTTACTTTAAGAAAGACTTAAAAATTCGTTCACTAATAATAGTATGAAAGAAGTTAAATTAAGTAACCACAGTTCAGTATCAATGAAATTTAACACTCTTTGTACTATTGTTGTAACCCCCAAATATTTGTACCTCATTTTGCCTCCCATAAACCCATTGCCAACAAGTTCATTCTGCTCATAATGACCCTATGGGACAGAGGGGAACTGCCCCATAGGGTTTGAGATTGCCACATCTTTCGTTAGCAGAGCAGTTGGGTTGAACCGCCAAACTCTGGGTTAGTACTTCAGCAAATAACGTGTGCCACCAGAGATCCTGAATCTACTTCCATAAGGATTTACCACTTTGGACACCCAAAGGAGGTTGCTATGAGTTGGAATCAACTGGATGGCAGTGAGTTTGTTTTTTGGTTTGGTATCTACTAAAATATGGAAAGAGCCAAAAGAGATGTTGCTTCAGGCTCACTTTCCATCTGAAATGAAATTCCCCCTTAATACTAATCTCAGTTTATTAGGTGGTCCCATGTAATTTTCCCTGATAATTGTAATGAGGTGTTTGGAAGTTCATACGTTTCTGTTTGATCTGCCTCTCCGCTGTGATGGTAGGGACACATATTCCACCTTTAAATTCCACCGCTCTTGTCACCTCCCCTCCCCCACTCCTGTTCCTCCCGTGTTCTGGAATGTGTATAATTCTTTATTCTTCAGGTCTTCATTCAGAAGGTGGCACATAAAAGTTACATATGCAGTCTCTACTTGTGAGATCACTGATCAAAAAGTTCTCATCATAACCATTTCCAAATAATGTCATTTAATCAACATTTGCAGTACTCTACAAGCTTTCACTCTTTTGCATCTCTGGCACTCCAGCAAGCACCACTTTAAGAGCTAAAGCATAGCCTACCTCTCTCTGGAGAGCAGTGCTCCACCTTTCTGGGACAGGAGTCACTAAGCACATTCTCCCTGAGCTTTCCAAGAGAAGAGGAGACATAAGGGAGGTGGGAGAGCAGGTTGCCAAATCCATACAAGCACGCTCCACACAGACTAATCCATTACATTAAAGGGCGGGAAGTTATCCAGCAGGCTAAAAACGCCCAGAATTCTGAAGCGAATTAGACCCAGAACAGAACTGCTATGACACCGGGGTACAAACTTCCTGCGAGCATCTGTTGTGGGTTCTCTGTCTTACCTTCTCTCTCCCTCGCATCTCCTATTGCTTTTCTTGGCCCTCTCCTTTCCTCATTTTCTGTGACCCTTGCCCAGCAATGGCACTAGGAGCATTGACCCCGGCCCTTCACGGAGGGTTTGCCGGCCCGTGAATTAAAACAGCACTCCATAGCCAGACCTCTGCTTAAGCCAATGAAAGCATCTGTGCTTGGACTGTCCTCTCATAAGCGCTTCTTCAGCGCTATGCAGCTAAAAAGGAGGGCTACCACTGACAAAATGCAGCAGGGGCTTGAAGACCCTGGGCCTATCGTTTCGGATGATAACTCCGGGAGGAGAGAAGAGAGGGAAAGGGGGCGGAGGCCTGGAAGACGTGAGAAAGCTGGACTGTAGAATGAAGCCCAAAGTAAGCAACTCGGCCGCGCAAGCGCGTCGGCAACAACACGTCTCCAGCAGCCGCCGCACAGCGACGCCTGCGCACTAGGTGCCCTGGAGGGGCGGAGGGATGGCGAGGAGCAATTCGGCCTAGCTCCCCCACCGTCTCTGTGCCCCTAGGCCTGCAAGCCCCGCCTCCTCCAGCTGCTAGGTTCCCAAACAACCCGGTGAGCCACCGGCCCTCTCCGTGGATTGGCCCTTGGCCTTTTCCGTTTCCGCCCAGCCCTCCAGAGTCCACCAATCAGCTTGTGCGTTTGGGTAAGGTGCAACCTCCAAGGCCTTGGCTTCGGCTCTTCTGCCTTCCCTGAAGGCTGCCTCCGCTGCTGCCTCCTCCTTCCCCACCTCCTCCGCCAGCCTAGAGTCTGCGGGGGCCCGAGGGGCGGCGGCGGCGGCGGCGATATGGAGCCGGGGGCCGGCAGCCGAGGCTCTGCTAGCAGTCAGGGGGCCGGTCCCCCGAGCAGTCCGCCGCCCCGGGAGCAAGAGCGGAAGCTGGAGCAGGAGAAGCTCTCTGGGGTTGTGAAGAACGTCCACCGGAGGCTCCGCAAGAAGTACCGGGAAGGTAAACAGCGGGCTGAGCGGGGGGCGGGGAGGCCTCATCCTCCAACCCCGTGTCACTTTCTCTCTCCCCCAAAGAAAGAGGCCACCATTGACACCCAGAGGAGCTGCACGTCAGCCCCTGGCGCTCTCCCAGGCAGGAGACCCGGTTTGGTCCCAGCCCCCAGACGGCGTTAGGCGCGCTCCTCCTGTTCTCTTTTCTTCGTGGACCCTTCGGGAGAGTTCCGGGCCTGTAGAGGCACTGGGTCCCCAGCCAAAGTGCTGAGATGGTTGTCACCATACATACGAACCACGTTCATGGAGGAGGTAGGGGCGGCTTGTTGCGAGGCGACCTAGAAGGTGAAATAAGGGGCAAAATCCATTTATGAAAAGCATACTGAAAGAAGTGTGAATTGCCCCTCTCTCCCTTCTGCTTAACCAGCCTGTTGTTTCAATTGCTTCCCGGTCAGCACCCCTTCCTTGTAACCCCATTCCTACGGGTTTAGCCGGAGCCCTGCCGCAGCTTCATCGCGCTGGCTTCCAGGGCTGCGAACTCGCAGGCCTTTTAGCTGACTGGAGTTCACCTTGTTAAAATGCGGAGGAGTGACGTTCCTGCTAACCCCTCGCCCCGTTTTTCAGAGTCTTCGTTTAAGTGTTTATTTAGGAAGAGGAGATGGGGCAAGTTCTCAAAATACTGGCGAGTTTAGAGTAATCAGTGTTACTGTCAAGCCACTGACATTGATGCCAGCGAGGCTGGGCATCGGTGGGAACCCTTCTATGGAATAGCAGAAGCAGGGAAGGAGCTTATTAACTTTTGATTGTGCTTTTTGGTAGTGCTTATAGTTGGGTTTTTTGAATTTTGGTTTTGTTTTTTCAACAGATGTACTTTGTAAGCCTTGTGTAGTGAAAAGTGCCAGTTTTTTAATAGGCACAGGAGAAATTTCTTCTAAGTATCAAAATGAGAGCTCACCTTCTAGTGGTTCTTGGTTTAGCGTCATTGCAAACTGAAAAGTCAGCAGTCTAATGCTGTTAGTCTTGTACTTACTTAGTTAATAGAATAGGATTAGGAGCAGAATTGTAATAGTGAAGAAACAGAAACATGTAAGATCATGTTACTTTTGACTTATACATACTTTTAGTTACTCTGATTGCTTGGAACTAAGTGTCTCTTGTTTCTTTTAATGCAGTTGATGTGTTTCATTTTGCAAACTTTAAATTCAAAGGTTTCTTTCTCTGGCAACTTAAACCCAACTTTTAGTAGAGACTGCTTAAATACTCAGTGTCAAAGATGACCTGTAGTTATTGTTGAATAGGTAGCAATAGAAAGAGACTTAATGAGCATAGTTAAGATGTTGAAATTTATTTTTTTAAAGGATACTTTAAACCCCAACTCACAACTTAATAAAATGAGTAGTTACCATAGCAACCATTGCATCATTCTTGATCTTCATAGAATGCACTTGCATAATGCATTCATTGTAGATTTTTCTGTTGTTTGGAGAAATTAAGAAATAAATGGACACACTTTCCTGCAATTTATCTTGCTGTTTTGTGCAAATTTAAGTAAGTATATTTAAAAAAAAAACATATAATTCAGTTTCCATATTTACCTTTTAATGATAATTTCTTATTCATAAATGATGAGGTTCCACTTAAATTAAGAAACTACTAATGTGTTATCCCCTCAAATGCTGTTTATACATAGCTTTAACCCTGAATAACAAGAATACTTTTCTGTGATAAGAATTGGTAGTTGGAAGTTATCAAAAAAGATGCATGTGGTTCATGAATGAAAAAGTTTGCTTCTGGACAGTCTGTAAAAATTTGAATGAGATTGTTGTTTAGGCATTTAATGCCCTGGATTCCACCAGTGATCTAGACTTCTCTAGGCTGTACTCCAGTGAAGTATAAAAGCCTAATCAGTGAACTAGCAGATCCTAATGAGCATGCCCTTCCTGTGTTTATTGACATGTAGGTCAGATCTGACTTGTGAAAAGCTGACTAGGAGAGTCTGTGTGCATAACAGTCACAAATAATAATTTTTATCTCTTAGTATTGTTGTAATATCAGTGGTCTCCAGTCTGAACATATTTTACAAGTTCATTTATAGGTTGGCTGTGGTCATAAGACAATAATATAAATGATACTTGAGTGTAGGTGAGCCCACAAAAGCCTGGTCAGTTACATACCTGAACTATAGACCAGTAACCATGGAAACTATGCTCATTTCATAGCAATAGTCCTACCAGAAAATACAGTGAAAATTCCAGCTTAGAATCTTGGACTATTAGGCTAGGAACCTTAATCATTATCAATGATTCCCAAGCATAGCTGATCAGCCGACTCACGTGCAAGCTTTTGAGAAAATTCCTGCATTCTGTCTACAGTTTCAGAATCCCTGTCATCAGCATTGAAATTTGTCATATTTTGGAGCAGTGATCTAAACTAAACTAGCTCCTTCATTTTACAGATGAGTGAGCTGAGTCCCAAAAAGATTAAATGACTGCTTGAAGTTTGGACAGTTCATCAGTAGCATTATATATACTTTATGAGAATAAGAGTTTTTTCTTCCAGTTCCAACACTAATATTGACTCCAAGTGTTGGTAGAATGGAAGGGAAAATGAGAAGCGGAAAATATTTCTAGAATTTGTGTCGGGAAGGAGGATATAAATTGATGGAAATGGGTGCTAAGTTGGGTATGTATGATTAACTGCGTTGGTGTTTTTTAGGGAGAAATGGCAGGGAAGAAAATAAGTGGGACTAGGATAAAGGAGGAGGCAAGGGTTTCATTGCAATAGTAAGGGCAGGTGTGAGACATGAATCGTGAGTCTGGAGTCAGGGAATAATTTTCCTTTCCCCTCTTATCTCTGGTTGAGGAATTGATGCGAAGCAGGAAGACGAATGAAAATGAGGTCCTTCTCCTGTGGTAGTAGATGGCTCCTTAACTCCCATCCTTCCCCAACCCATTTGTGCAGCTAACTTTATCGATGGTGATATTGATGGTGATGAACAGCTTTAAGGTGAAGACTGGGGGGAGGGCAAGATAAGATTGTGAAGACCACCAGATAGGTGTTATGTACTCTTTTACCACCTTTTTCTTCTCTACTCCATTTTACCATCTGTCCTATGTCACCTTTACAGACCCTGTGCCAATTTGTACAAAGGTAAAGTGAGAATTGGTGATAAAGGTCAATGTTCCGAGCACTACTGTTATCTGAAGTAGTTACCAAAAGATAAGGAAATGCCTAGAAGCCATAACCAGAAGGGGTGTTTTTGGTGCCAACTATTTATAGATAGGAGATAATCCATTGGATTGAGTGTATAAATGTACTTGAATATATAAGTGTCTTCATCTTTGCTATGCCGAATTTTTAAAATTTGACCTTCACATAAACCAAAAATATTTTGAATACATCATGAGAGTTGTAAACAACTTTTTAATATGAAACAACTAGTTTTGCTTCCCAAACAGGGACTTCATTGTTTAATCTGATCTGTCTGATAAGTACATAGCAAACTGAGAACTGAAGTACGGTTATGTGTGTTTTTACTTGCCTTTGTATAATTTTTCCCCAGAATCCTATTTGTATAATTATTATTACGCTTCACATTTATTTTTCTAAACTTTATTCAGGTAAAAACTCCAAGAAAACGTAAAAGGTTACAGCTGTCAGCAGTAAAAGTACAGTCTCCATTCCATTTAGTTTTGAAATTTTTTACCAGTCTTGTGAACCAGCCACTCCATGGGAGAAAGATGAGGCATTCTGCTTCCATAAAGATTTATAGCCTTGGAAACCCAATGGAGGTTGCTGTGAGTTGGAATCAGCTCAATGGCATTGAGTTTGGTTTGGGTTTGGTTTGGTATCTTGCTAGTGTCTTTAGAAAATTTCGTCAGTTTTATCCAGTTAAATTTACCAGTAGCACAGTAGTTGAAGTGTTCGTTTGCAAACTTAATGGTCAGAATTTCAAACCCACTATCTTCTCTTTGAGAGAAAGATGCTACAGTCTGCTTCCATAAAGATTTACAGCCTCGGAAATGCCATGAGGCAGTTCTGCTCTGTACTAAAAGGGGGCTATGAGTCGCAATCTACTCAATAGCAGTGGTTTTTGTTTTTTTTTTCCTGTGTGGGGGGATAAGTTATATTATATACCAAGACAGAGTTTATTATATAAGTCCATACAGTTTATACATTAATCGGAGAAGAATAAAAGTACATTCTGAACAGGTAATAGTAGTATTAGGGTTGTGGGATTACAGGTGATTGTTACACTTTTCTATATTTTTTAAAAAATCAATGTTAGTGATTTTTATGACAATATCATAAAAGTAATCAAGCCAAATCTAATCAAACTCACTGCCGTCAAGTCAGATTCAACTCATAGCGACCCCTCCTTGGGTTTCCGAGGTGGTATCACTATGAAAGTAGATTGCCCAACCTTCCTTTGGAGGAGTGTCTGGTGGGTTTGAACCACCAGCCTTCTGGTTAGTAGTCAAATGCCTTAGACACTAGACCAAAATAAAATACATTACTGATAATGAAACAGAAGAGGAGAATTCAGGGTAAGTTGTTCTGTATGCTGAGTCCATAAAAAATGGTGTTATAAAAGTTAACAGTTGTTAGCATCACTTTAAGAGTGAGAGACTGCCTTAGACTTGGTTCACTAGAGGGGCGAAACCAGTGTATAAATATAAATCTATATAGAGACTTTATTTTAAGGGAATGGCTCACACAGTTGTGGAGGCTGGCAAGTCCCAAATCCATGAGTCAGGTTTCAGGCTGGAGGCTTCTCCTGACACATGTAGTTGCAGGGCTAACAAACCCAAAATCTGCAGGTCAGATGACAGGTTGCTGGCTCATGTCCCAAGAACCAGAGGTCAAAGGATGGTAAGTCAGATGCAGGATTGAGAGAGAGCAAGCTTTACCAGAACATCCATGTATATTGGATACAAGCCACACACACAGAGAAACTGATTGGCTTTTCAACTGTCAGCTGCTCAGATCAGATCCCAAAGTGGAGGAAGA